GTGTCGAAAACCTAAGGGAAATCCAAGGCAAGCTGCGAAACAATTAAGGAACATGGAGCCCCTCCCCAACAAAAAAGGTTCATTCTTCAGGGCCCCAACTGTATTCTGTCCTACCGCTTTTTAGCGGGATTTCGGAGTTCTCGCATTTCCCACCTCCCGACGCTCCCAAACGACCCACGAGGCCCCCGAGTTCGCCCAAATACCACTCCGAGAGGGCACCGAAACGGCCCAAGAGGGCCCGAAGACGGCCCGAGACGGCTCCGAGACGGTCCAAGAGGCCCCCACGACGGCTCCAAGGAGTGCCCAGACGAGGGAACGCAACAGACAGGTCGAACTCGCGGCCCCGAGTGGCTCCCAGGACGCCCCAAAAGGCACCCTAAAGACCAAACAAAGGCTCCATGGGGGCCCTCAAGAAGCCCCCAGGAACGCAAGGGGCCCCCAAGAAGCTCCCCAAACGCCCCCAAGAGGCTCCGAAACTGAACCCCAAAGGCCTCCGAGAGCGTTCTGGAGACCCGCCAGATAGCACCCCTGAGGGCTCTGACCCACCTCAGCGTCGTCGTCGTCGCCGCCGCCGCCGTTGTCGCCGTTGCCCCTTTCTCGCCATCGCTCGGACGTCCATTCCAAGTGTTTTTTTGTCGGTTTCGTGCGTTGTTTTTTCGCCAGATCTGTTTCAATTTTGAATTCCTTTTTTGAGGAGCATCCTTGAAGGATGCTCCTCGATGGTCCTCGCCGAAGGAAAAATGCACACGTCCGAGCGATGCCAAGCTCTTCAATCCTCCACCACCCTCGAGCCTCCAGCCTCGGCCGCGCGCTCAGTTCCCCGCCGGGGGGCCCCGAGGAGCCCCTGGGGAGACCCCCGAGGCGCCCCGGGGGCCCCAAGAGGCGCCAAGGAAGCCCCCAAGGAGACCCCTGAGGCTCCTAGGAGGCCTAGGAGACCCCTGAGGCTCCTAGGGGCCCCCTAGGCGCCCAGGAGGCACCCGTGGAGCTCCCCAGAGGCTCCCCAGAATGCTCCCAACAAGGCATCACTACCTACATCATATGTCCTTCCGTGCCACACTCCTACCGCGTAGCTGTGGAAAGTGTGTTCAGTGCTACCACAAATACAGGAGCTTAAGCGTTACAACACTTACAGGTTGTCTAGGAACTCAAACGCCACCACGGGTTGGAAAGGTTATGGACGTCGCAATGGCTATAAAAGGTCAGAAGTGCTACAGAACTTGTAGGGACTGGGAGGGCTCTGCGGCTTACAGGGACTACAGGGGCATCAAGTCCTTGTCGTCGTCGTCATCGTCGTGGTCGTCGTTGTGGTCGTCGGTGGGGGTCATGGAGGCCCTGTAGGCAGTCCCACCGTGGGACTAACTGTCTTGGTGGCATCTTTTCTCGGAAGAGAGATCGGTCCCAAGGTCAAGTCTGCGAGGCGTGGCGCTCGAGGGGACCCGTCCCAGAGCGTCAGCGAGCAGACGATCCGCTAGGGAGCTCCACCCTGGCTGGACCAGCGAGGCCGAGGCGATTCACTGAAAATCAAAGGCCTTCCCCACTCACCGAGGAGGTGTTGCCCGGCCCTGCGGCTCGAAGTGAAAGCCGAGTGGCGGCCTATCTCCCTGGAGCATGGAAGGCCATGAGCAGCGCCTCGGAGTTCGAGCGCCCACATGCGAGCGCCAGGCGTGGCGCCCGAGGGCCACAACCAGGGTGATGACGATGAGACACAACGGCGCGCTGGAACCAGTCATCCGACGTTTTGCAAATGAAAAGCGGACCAAGAACATTACGTTCGAGCACACGCAAGCAACATGCTTGTAGTTCAGTGCCGCTGTGTGTGTGTGTGTCCATATATGCACGTACGGCCTATACGAACACCCTTCGGGTGATAAGGAGGTTGTGTGGGGGGGGGGAGAGGGGGGAACCAACATCTGACTCAACCGATCTCACTTCTCGATCTCACTCAACGGGACAACACGGGCCACCACGGGACACAACGAAACACTTGTCGATCTCACTATCGATCTCACTCAACGGGACACCACGGGCCACCACGGGCCACCACGGGACACCGCGGGACACCTCTCGATCTCACTATCGGTCTCACTATCGATCTCACTCAACGGGACACCATAGGACACCACGGGACACCACATCGATCTCACTATCGATCTCTCTATCGATCTCACTCAACGGGACACCACGGGACCCCACGGAACACCACGGGACACCACATCGATCTCACCATCGATCTGACTATCGATCCCACTATCGATCATTTTTGGGGACACCACGGGACACCACGGGACACCTCGGGGCACCACATCGATCTCAGTATCGATCTCACTATCGATCTTACTATCGATCGCACTCAACAGGACACCACGGGACACCACGGGGCACCGAACACCACGGGACACCACGGGACACCACGGGACACCACGGGACACCGCGGGACACCGCTAGGGCCACCTCCGGACGGACGGACGGACGGGGGAGAATCATTTGTCTTGACTTCGCC